TTTGAAAATGCATATTTCCACGACTTGTCTATTAGTCATTCATGCTCTTGAAGACTTTTTTGATAGCTAGCTTTATTTAACTTTATTATTGGTACTTTTCAATGTTTGCCTTGCAGATATCTTTCAGGATTTTTATTCCGGCAAATTTTATTTTTAGCTTTAAATAGATTGACAGTTTTTACTTCTATTTTTATCATCTTAACTTACGTACTTATTGCCCTAGACTACGAATATTTGTACTTGTCTGGTTTTCCAATTTAGTTTGCGTTAATTAAATGAGCTACGTTAGATCTATTCAGAGACCACTTTGGGCAGTCTTCTTGAGGATATGAAGACTGAGCAATCCACATTTCGAATCTCATCACAACTACATAATTAAGACAGGCATACTGAGGAGCATGATTATCAGAAGCCCACGATTATCGTACGTTAAATTCTGGGATAAAGAATTGGAAAAATTGACTCGTATATTCCTCGGTAATGGATATTCGAGAGAGGTAATTCAAAGAAACATACTGGCCGTGAAGAATCGATGGCGGGACGGAGAGTATGAAAGAAAGATAAAGATGGAGAAAGACTTACAAAAGTAAATGTCTCTTCCTGTGAACTAACTCAAAAACTGCGGTCAATTTTAAGAAAATGGAATATTCAAGTGACTTCAAAGGATAAAATAACACTCTTCACAAGTCTACTTACGCAACATGAGAGGGTAGACAAATAGGATTGCTTGGGAGTTTGCTGCATAGCATGCGGCGTCTGCGAAAAGAAATGCTGTGGCGAAACTAGAAGAAAAATCGGCATACGCATTAAGGAGCATTAAAAGCTCTGTAGGAAAATGGATACTGAAAGATCAGATATAGCGGAACGCATCGCAGAGACTGGAGACGAGATCAATTGGAAGGAAACAGAAAGAAGGGCTTGATACAGTGAAAGCACAAGGAAACGGAAGATTAGGGAAGCCGTTGACATCCTTGTGGAAAAAAATTAATGAACAGGAGATTGGAAGAAGGCAGAGTCAGCGATAATTTTGCCTATTGCTTAATCACACTCGGAGAAAACAGGGATTTAACAAACAAGCAAAAAAGAGACGCCTAGATCAAGGATCTATCGTAAATCAGAGGAAGAGAGATCGCAAGGAAGAAGAGAGTGAGGAGGTTTCGAAAATGAAGCGAAGACGTTTTCAGTGAGAGTAGCCAGCTCGAATAAACAACTACAACTTGGGGCCTGACGTTTCACGTGACTAGGGAGAGGAATTGGATTACAGAAATGGGGCATTGTGACCAAATGGCGGCCAGAGATAAATGCTTACTGTTTGCTCAGGGTACACGGGCCTAATCGAGGAGATGATGCGTGAAGGTAATGCCTAATATATGCAGGGATGGGAATCAGAGCCTAGGCGCTCTGAAGATAAGGCGACTTGGTATGTGCTACTGAAGGCTTGAGAAATGGCACTTGGAGTAAAAGTACGCTGGGACTGAAATGGAGTGAAATCGGTCAGCCAGAAAGATAAGAAATGGACTTACGGGCCCGAGGCAGATCTGAACAGGAGACTAGGGCAGGATCAGCCAATCGAAAGGGAGGGGAGCAAGACAGACAGCAGATGTGATGACACCATGGTAAATTCGCCAAAAGGGCAAATCTCTTGTGGAGTATAAACATGTTAGAAGTTGTGATAGAACGAGGGCGAGTCTAGAGGGTAGGAAATGAAAAGATGGACCAGGACAAAACGAGGAGTGATAGCAGAACCATTTGGGCAGAAAATTAGTCAAGTGATTGACTTCTCTTGTCCCTTTGACGGATTTTAGTGTGGTGCTAAGAATGGCGAGACTCACTGACGATGCCGGCGAAACGCCCACGGTCCGACTCTGGCAATGATTATCCATACAATGAACTTCGGACAACGTGCGTTCCTCTAGGTATTCTTGATACTATGACCAAGTTGCGAAACCAAAGTCAAATAACTTTTATGAAAGGAAGGCAATTTCGTTAATGTGACAAATATCTTTGAGAATCTACCGAAATAATCAAATAGAGTGCTCGAAATGTAAATTATACTACCAATTTTGGTGGACCAAGAAGCTACGTATGGGAACAATATAAGTAAGATGTTTAGAGAGTTGAAAAGAAACGATCTCGTAGTTCTTCATGCACTAACTTAAGTTCGACTTGCTCGGCTTATAGATTAAGGGTAGGATATGATGCTTCATTTATTACATCTGGGATCGAAAAAATAAAGCAATTGGCGATAACACAAAACTGTTTCAGAGAGTGTATAATATTATTGGTTCGAATAAGTCCATGCTGTGAATCAATAGGACTAACTTCCTTTCGATACTATCAGTGTATTTTGAATAAGAACTTTAGTCACCTTAGATCGCTTCAGATGATATGAACTCTGATAGTTGAATTACCCATAAGTAAATGAGCAGACCTGAGGATTCCACTGAATTTCGTTTAGCCTTGGTTCCATAAAATTTTCTTTATCGGATTAGACTGTTGGTTTGTCATTTTCTGGGTCTCATCAAGAAACGATGAGATTTGAAGCCTAGTCATATGCCTTAACCTGTGCTATGCTGGTAATCAATGCAGATATAAGAACTGTTGAAATAGATGAAATTATTTAATAGTTAACCTAAAGGTATTTCCTGCAGTGACTTGGTTAGATATAAGAAAAGTCTGGCGCCAAAAGATACTTAATATGATCACCGAGTTCTAATTCCCACTTGATCTACGTCAGCATATCATTTTGGAAATCTATTTGTATAAAACTCAAAGTGCAGATCCTCTAAGAGACAAAAAATGAACCGCAGAGATTCTAATAAGACAAATTTGCCATCCAGCACTACATCCTGATAAGGCTAGGGAAAAAGCATCAGATTATGCCCCAACGTATTTTAATTTACTCAATTTTATTTTTTGACATGCGTCAAATGCTCTTGGTACTCTGCTAACCTTATCCAAGCTGCAAATTTTTTATTTAAATATTTTGAAGTGACACCTAGTTGTTTGACTTCATTGTTGCCTTTTCTTCATGTGTGCATCTTCGAATGCGTTTTACACCCTTGCTTATGCAAGCATCCATTGAGCTTGCACTGTATAACTCAGACATTAGCTCTTTAATTTTTCCTGCTTTCTTCTCAACGAATTAAAAACAATCCATCTGTTTATATGCAAAAGGTATAACTTTGAACTCAACTAACTTCCTCAAGCTTCACATGGCAATACTGTCACTCTTCTAATTTGCCAAAATAAACTAACCTACAGTAATTTAAAAAATATATAACAGAATTTGTGATTCGAGAACTCGGGCTTCTATATTTTTGTGACCATTTTGTTGGTTTCTTCTTATAATCGGTGGAATCCTATTTATTTCTCTAAAATTATTTTAAAATTCTCTTCTGGCTTTGCAACAGGGAAGATATGATTTTCTCAAATTTTCGATCCTACCGATAATTTAATATTAAGAGGCTAAAGTTTAAGAGTTCAATTTTGTCTAAAGCGTATTATTTTGCACTTTTCTTATTAAGTTATCAGAATTGCTGAACATTGAATTGCTAGAGAAAGCCAGAGCTCCTGGAGTTGAGAGATGTGCTACTCATTTCTCAAGTTTATCTCAATGGGCGATGGATTTATTATCTTCTCATTACTCTTTGGTTGATCGTGAAAAACAGGCACAACGTCTGCTTGATGTCATGCAGGTATCATGTCATTGTATATATTACATTTTATAGCATTGTATCATTTATATTAATATAATAAATGTATAAGGATTAAGATCTAATTTGCTAGACTTTTCTAGAACGTGACAATTTCACGTGAGCCAGTGAGATGGTTAAAACTAGGGACTTATTGTCACTTCATACGTTGTAGAAATTTATTTTACTTTAAATTATCAGAAGAACAATTAATAGTAAATGTGGGGAGCTTAATTTCATCAACACTCAGAATTTAATATGCTTTAGGACCAAATATACTAGATAAATAATTCACAGCAATATTAATATTTTGTATAATTGAAGATATGAAGACCAAGATGTTGTGGCCTCTGGTATCGTCGCAGTCTCCTTCCGATTTATAGACATGGGCTGACCTAGACGCAACTTGGTCTTGTTGTCAGAGTGACTTAGTAGAACACACCTAGTCTGACGTCATCTGCCATAGTAGTTGTCATGATTTTCAGCATCAGACAGTGGACTTGGTACATTATCAAAAGTTTCGCCGGCATCGTAGTCGGCATCATCAGTGAGGCTAAAGATAGGAATAATAAGAAATATGATCATCCGAAGCCTATGCTTAAAGGATGTAGAATTCTGGGACGAGGAGCTGGACAAATTGACTCGGATATTCCTCTGCAATGGCTACCCAATCGAAGTGATGCAAAGAAACATACGGGCCGTGAAAAGCCGATGGCAGAACGGGGACTATGAAAGAACAGTAAAAACGGAGAAGGATTCACAAAATTGGATATGCCTACCTTCCTGCGAACTAACTCAGAACCTACAGCCAATATTGAGTAGACTGAATATTCAGGTGGCAATGAAAGAGAAATCAACACTTTTCATAAGTCTACCGACGCAACACAAAAGAGTAGATAAATTGGATTGTTCAGGAGTTACTGTATATCATGCGGCGTCTGCGAACAGAAATATATTGGCGATACAGGGAGACAAATTAGCAGACGAATCAAGGAACATCAAAGGCTCTGCAGGGAAATGGATACCGAAAGATCAGAACTAGCGGAACATATTGCACAGATTGAACAAGAGATCAATTGTAAGGCAACAGAAAGAAGAGCCCCATACGGTGACAGCACAAGGAGGCGGAAGATAACGGATTTAGAGATAACTTTGCCTACTACCTATGCAAACTCGAGGAAAACAAGAATAGAGTAAGATCAGCAAAAAGGAGACGCCTGGATCAAGGATCTACTGCTAACCAGAGGAAAAGGGATCTCGATGACGAAAGTGGGTGACAGGGGTTTTCTAAAATAAAGCGAAGACGTTGTTAGTGAGTGATGTCCATTTCAAATAAACCAGTACAACTTTGGGGGGCTGGCAGTTAGGGAGCGGGGCAGACGGATAAGCAAACCGTCACGGAAATTCGGCGTTATGACTAAAGCGTACTAGAAATCCACTTGAGTTGCCGCATGCGACCAGAGATAGGCGTCCACAGTTTGCTCAGATAACATTGGTTTAATGAAGGAGACGACCCTTGAAGGAAAGGCTTGATATCTGCAAGCATGGGAATCAGAGCTTAGGCGCTCTGCTCGGTGAGGCGGCAGTGTACGTGCTTCTAGAGCCTTAAGAAATAGCGCCTGGAGTGAAGTGCACACTGGGATTGGAACCGAGTGAAATCGATCAACCAGAAAGATAAGGGACAGGTCTACGGGACCATGAGGGGATCCGGATTGGAGGCCCGAGTCGAATCAGCCGATCGAAAGAAAGGGGATCAGAGTGAATACCAAGTGTGATGAGCCCACATTAGATTTGCCACCAAAGGTCGCACATTTTGAGGGGTGGGATGTAAACAAGTGAGAAGTTGTGATAGGGCGGTAAAGAGTAGATAGATAGGCCAGGAGTTATAGTGCAACAGTTTTTGACAGAACGTTTATCGAGGTATTGACTTCACTTGTCTCTTTGACGAGTTCGTAGCTTGGTGCGGAGAATGGCAAAACTCACTGATGATGCTGACTACAATGCCGGCGAAACGTTGGAGAATGTACCAAGTCCACTGTCTGATTCTTGTAATAATGACAACTACTATGGCAGACTACTTAGGACTAGGTGCGTTCTACTAAGTATCCCTGACAGCAAGACCAAGTTGCGACAACGAGGTCAACACACTTCTTTAATATTTTGCTATCATTTGCTCTTTTTTTCCTGATTCAAAAGGGCCTAACCAGAAAAGTATTTTTTTTGTTTCATTATACTGATTGTTCAATTTTAGCTC